AACAGGAAAGTGAGGTGTGAAGGCCTGTTGCTCCCAGCTAGCTATAAGAGCAAGCTGCTCCCCAAGCGGCTACCTGCCTGATAGCAAACTGTATAAAGCTGTATATAAGTGAAGGTGGGAAAATACAAGGAAATAAAAGGGCACTGGTGTTTGAAAGAGTGGTCTCCCACGAATTTGTGCCGTGAGCAACGAGGGGCATGTCTACAAGTAGGGATAGAAAAAGGAGCTTAAGACCATTCAAAATGGGAAGATTACCAGCTTTCCAATAGGACACACAATATTTCCTTCTAGTATGGAGAAAATTTAATTATAAAGTCTTGGCATTTCATGTACGGGAAAGTTAGTTTGGGTCATTCTTAGAATTTTAAAAAGTATGTTATTTGTATTTTTAGTTCCCTGACACATGTAGATGACTCACAGTAACTAGAAGGGAGGGCTGCCATTAAAAGAAAAAACAGCCCTCAGTTGCAATTAAACTATTTAAGACATTTCTAAAATAGCTGTTGGTTAAATGTGTGACTTATAAACAATACATGATGGGTTTTACTGGCATTTGTTTGGAATGGCAGCATTACTCAGTCACCTATGTAATTAATTCCTAAACAAGCATCCATAAAACCTTTATACCACACCATCATTTATTCTGTATCTCTCTTTATGTACTGTACATATATTACAAGAAGGTTCAAAATTTCATTAACATTAGTCATACTATGCTTCAACAAACAGGTCCTGTTCCAGAAGGACACTAAAAGTTTCCCCATGATTTGAATAATGAATACATGAACTGTTAAACAAAGAATATTAAAGATGTCTAGCTACTTTTTTAATAGTCAAAAAGCTATGGATATATTATTTTTCTTTTAAATTCAAATATGAAGTGCCTGCAAACTTACCTTCATATTCTTCAGTGCTGAAGTAACATTCTGATGGGTTTTCAGAAAGATGCAACACAAACTTTTCAATTAATTCTGCCAAAACTGTAATAAGCAAAAACCCATTAAAACATCAGCGGCAATGAATGGAATGTGGAACTACATTACCCAACAAAATTACAAAATGTGGACAACTAAAGCAATTTGAACTCCTGAATGTTTATGCACATTTGTATGGGGAAACAATTCAAAATATTGTGCTCTTGGATTCATAACATTCCTGATTCAAATTAAAATTTTAATAGCTTCACTGAAAATCTATTCAGTGTTAACTGAAAGGGAATTATTTATTATCTTTAGATCCTCCGAGGATTACTTCAGAATTTGTTACATGGTTTCAATATACAAAGAAAATTAACTCTAATTAGGCTACAATAACTTACCACATTTGTATGTGGATGTAGACTGTGGATAAAAATGTTACTTGAAGACAAAAGACAAGAGGCAATGCACTTTAAGGGTTCTGTCCTTCCTTCTGATAAGCAGTGCAAAATCAATTGTTTGCATATTTATACAAGAGTAATGGCCAACTTTCCAAAATATGAAAAATACAGTATATATTATTAGATATTAGAGGGAAAGAACAAATCTTAAGGGATGCTTCTATGCTTTATTATTACTACAATCTTACTCAAAGATCTGCTCCTTCCATGGAAGCTCCCATGGGGATTGTGCTCCACTCTGAATGTCTGTATTGTGGGGTCAAGCAGGATGCTGGAAGTTGGTCACTACTCGTGGCCCTAAGCACCCCTCTACAAAATATGTCTTGTGATAGATCATTTGAAAACTAATAACTGGCAGGTTAATAACATCATGGTAAAATGTATATACCAATATTATATGTAAATGTATGAATTCCCCTTATAGGATGTCATTGTCATATGTTCAAGACCAGGTTCCCTAGACTAGGTAAAGGTATTAAAAAAGTTTATCTCAGACAAAGGAATGTAGTTTCCTCACCTAGGAGGTACTTCCATAGTACTTTGTAAGACAATGAGACTGTATTTACATATCGTGTGAATAGACCCATCAAGCTAACAAGAGGTGGAGGCAAACCCTACATTATCACGACAGAGGACGACATTTTTTAATGCTCATTAAGTTGCACTGGAGGGAGCAGGAACTAAAATAATTTGCATTTTAGCAGACAACTCCAGGAGGGGAAGAAGCAACAGAAAACTTCCTTCAAGTTGCTGGGAATAGACTTATCTGACATATTCGTCAGAAGAATCCATTTAAAAGATTGATTGGACTATAAAAGAGAGGGGCCAAGAAACCCCAAGTTATTTACCTTTCACCTAAGAAGACAAAGCCCTTTGACACATGAGGAGATAGATCCTGGCCCAGGGGTTCGGTCAGCCATCTTGGTGAAAGCACATGGTGAGGATTTTACCTTGACTCAAGTCTAGCTTGTTAAGTTTTAGTTGCTAGAAAGCATTTTATTTTTATTTCTCCTGTAACCATTTCTTACTTTAATCCTTATACTTGTACTCACTTAATATTCATCTCTTTGGAATTAGATAAACTTGCTTTATTTTTAATCTAAACCAACCCAGTGCTGTGTTTGAACTGAACTGTTTGGTAACTCCAGTTAACGTAAAAAATTGTTGTATATTGACTCTTCAAAGGACAACAAACCTTATCATTCCTCTGGTTGTTCCATGACAAGGTTGGACATTTCAGAACACATGTTTTGGGGAAAAATTTGGGGCTGAGGAAAGTGTGGAGTCACCTTACCAGTTGTTAACCAAGGCGGGGGGTGGGGGTGAGGGGTAATTGGAAGTCCAGTATCCCAGGCAGAGGGCTACAGTAGCAAGACATTGTGAGGCACTCAGGGTTACAGGGTAAGAGGTGACAATTCCTCACTGGTCTGTATTTCACCCCAGAATGTGACACTACCCAGGGAATTGTACCTCCCTCCCTTGTACGATAATAGCCTATAACTTAGTGCTCACCCTGTCAGCATTAGCTTACCCTGCTTTTCTTGATCATGTCCTGAAATGCGTTCTGAAAAACTACTAAGAGATTGAGAGCCACTGCAATTGCACAGGCTCTTCTCAAACTTAAAATTACCTGTAGGTTTGGGGAGGCTGCGTCCCTTTATACTTCTGTAGCTGGGCAAAGTACATCACTACTTTAAACAGAAGAATGCAAATGAAGCTTTCCCATCTCCTCTATGGGAATATCTCATGTAGGGAACAATAATGACCTACATTAAAAACTTAAGGTAGCACCAGTGAAAATGTAACAAGGAGAGCATGACCCAAAGCCAGGTATCATCACCAGGACAATTCAGATTTAAAAAGGCTTTGATCTCACCTTCAATTTACAATATCCCCTCACCACTCCTAAAACTAACAATTAAAAAACCATAAAGACAATCATTTTTAGTTTCTCCAGCCACTGTTTAACCTAATCTTTTCTCATTAAATTATACACATTGCTGGTTTAATTGTCCAAAAGGTTCATAGGAATCACATTTTTACAGATCCAGTCTATTAAAAATGCCTTAATTAAGGAAGAAAAATGCTACTAAGACAGACTGTCTATTTTTGCATACAGAAATCTATGTCTTGTCAATCCACTTAGGGATCTGGGGCAAAAATCAGTACTTAGTCCTGCTAGTGAAGGCAGGGGGCTGGACTCAACGACCTTTCAAGGTCCCTTCCAGTTCTATGAGATAGATAGTTATATCTCATAGTTATAAATATTGTAGGAAGTTGCTGGGAGATTACAGACTCTACTCTGTGTGCCAGAGTTTCCCCCATTGTGGAAGCAGACCCATATGGAATTTTAATGCATAGGAATCAGCTCAAAAAAGTCTTCAAGAACTTTAATTATACCACTATTGATTTCACTGTAGTAATAACAAGGAGAGTATATGCAGTGGCAGTTGGTATAGAAAATGATGATTGTTGCAACACCAAGTTCACATTGAGAAGCATTACATTTTTATTGAGAAAGATCAGTCTCTTACTACAACAAAGCAATAGAGACTGCACAGAAAATGGGTTATTTCCCTCTTCTGTTTGAATAGGACGGTTGAATATATTTAATATCATTCTTTTTTCCCTGAAATCATGCCTCTATAAAAATTAAAGTAGACAGCACAAGCTTATTTATTCTATGAGACTCATTAAAGCACAGCCTTATGTTCATTTTGTGGGTACCTGAAAAAAAATCAATTTAGAGACTGCAGTATTTTCTAGTCAAGAGCATAGGAGTTTGGATCCCTGAGGATGGCGAACTCTGCCAAACTGTTGCTTGTTTAGTATTTTTTTTCAAAAGAAATACTATTTTCAGAACTATCACATAAAAGCCCCTTCTGCTGCTGCTGCCATAGTTCAGCCACTCCGTGATGCAGCATTTGCCTTTGAAATTAGACATTTGTAAAAGCCTTCTTCTTCTTCCTCTTCTTGGAATCAAGTAAATCCTCCAATATAGATTAATATGTTAATAATTAATGTAGCAGCATGGACCTCACTATTGAAAAAAATATATGCGTGTGTTTAACTTTACATTCTGAGAGTAACCCTACCATTGTACTTAAGCCTTTGTATGATTGGGGCCACAATTAGCATAACATAATTAAAATAAGAAAAAAAATTACTGCTTAGACTAAGATATAGAAACTAAAGAGTTTCTCTTGGGAAAACTTGCAGTTCACTTGTAACAGTACATTTAATATATGACTGTTCACATTCAGATCAATGAAATATGTTATGCTCGAATAATAAATAGGAGCAATGTCGCAAGATTAAAATATTGCATAATTCACAAAATTTAAAGTCAATAGAGAATATTTTAATTTGATCTTTTTTATTGGAAGGCATCCACATGCTTGACCCAACAGCCAAATACTTCAGTTCAGTGACTGAGTTAATGGGAGAAGTACAGTTCAACTGCTAAGCAGGTTATTTTTTTTTCAAATTCTAGAACAAAATTGATTTCAGCCATCTGTAAGTATTCATCTAAGTGCCCAGCAGGGGTCTGTGAAAACTCAATCAAATTTGTGAGAGAAAAAAATACGTAAGTGGAGTGTATTGAAATAAACTTGGTTATGAAGTAAATTGAGGGCTTTCACGGGACAAGACATTGCTTTTAAGATAATATTTATGTAAAATGATAGGCTGTTCTAAGTTGCTGTAGTTTGGTGCTTTGACACCTACAAGTATACTTTAGCTACTTATGCTGAAGCTACTTTCAGTTGGGCACCTTCTGGAATCCAGAGCTCTCTGGTTTCGGAAGTAATAAATATTGCAGAGCAAAGTAAATCTTGATTAAAATGAAAATCAGTTCAGTGATTGGTCATTTTTTTCAACCAGATCAAAAAAATAAATAAAGCTGTGGCATACTTATGGCATACAAACTCAGTATTGCTACATTACTGCAAGTAATACAGCCTACTGCAAGACACAACCACTGTTCCATTGCTGTCTCTCATGGTACTGTGCGTAGAAGTATACCTGGACATAAAGTTTCATACACTCCCTTCTCTAAACTCCTTTCAAAACTCCTGTTTGTTGCTTTTGTTAACCTTCTTAAATAAAAAAAAGGAAAAAAAATAATCCTAATAAATTTATTCACTCTTAAAACACATGTGAACAAACAGCATACCAAGTCTCCCATAAAATATATTTTATTAAAAACCAAGCGTTCCCAAACCAACACAGTTAGCTGGAATTTTGCTGGTTCTGAAATAGCCCCATTCAAATCTACTGTATTTGAACAAGAGCTTTTAGCACCCTGGGGTTAGCAGTATCTTCCTCGGTTAAAGTATTATCTTGTGGTAGTATTTTTGGGAATAATTAAATTGCTTTTCAAGTCATTCAGTTTCCATTGCTGTAATGTTCTCTTCATGTACCATAACATTTCTTTATGCATTTCCAGAATCCATGTGATATATGCTTTTATGGGTACTTTCTTGCTTAGCTATTCCCCATGCTGTTCAATGCAAAGATATTTATACAGTATATAGCTTTTGGATTCATGTTAACAAAATGCAATATTTGCTTGAAATTCTCAGTTGTCACTTTTGATATCTT